CAATAGCGGTTCAGGTTGCTATTCTGTATTCACATATTCACTGTCTAATTTTTGAATGGAGAGTTTGGAGTGTTGTCTCATGCCAGTCCTAGAGGGTAATGTATTTATATCACAAAAAGTCACCATATACACCCCTAATTGACTCTCACCTTGCTGGTTGCCGGTTTGCTGGAGGTACTGAAGTAATGCCTCAAACATTAGTATGACATATCCATAATCGGCATTGTGCTCGTTTCTTGGGGGTAGAGCAGTGGAAGTTTGACCTGTTTGCTTACAAGTCACTGCCTGTGTCTAGGGAAAAGAGAACTAGGGTTATCAGCCTGATGCTTTTTCCTCTTCCCAAAGCTCATGCACAAAAAAATCTGAAAGGGAATGTACAGAGAAAAGAAGAAAGAGAAAACTTTCTCTTCCAGATTCTAAGACATAATTTGACATATTTTCACATGAGGGTCTGTAGTCATATTAAACAACTTTTGTCATTTCACTGATTTGAGAGCTGTGAAAATATTCTGATATTCAGGTGCTTCCAAGAACTGTTCCTGTTCAATACATCATACATATTTCATAAATCCCAAAGAGACCAGAATAGTTAAATTAGTCTTATAAAATATAAGATAAAGTTGATATTAGTCCACAGCTTTTCTTTCTCTGGAAATGTAGGACACAAATGTATTAAAAAGATGCTTTCTGCATCAACATGTAATATTCTGTAAATATTTTTAGCTCTTGTAATATTTAAGGACATGTTTAGTGTAGGAATGGTAAGTATATTATGTTTTAGGGAGTTTTTTAGCCAACATTTAATTTTAACAAATCCACTCTTTTTAAACCAAGTTTCTTTATTGAAAAGGGATGCTCTAGCAATATAGCATTATATTTTGGTTTACTTGAGAAAGATGGACTTAATACATGTCGTTGTTCAGAGTGTAATTTACAGTGATGCTGCTGTTGGTAAGATCTTATCCATTTTCTTTTGTCTTTGAGATCAATGAATTGAACTGTATTTTTAAAGCTTTTTTTTTTTTAATAAAAGCAGTTAATTTTGGTTAACTTGGTTAACCAACTTTTTAACATAGTTAAAAATAACTATGGTTATTTTTAAAGGAATGCACATCATTCAGAGGTATAGCACTTCTGTGAATTCTGCTTGGAGGTGCTAATTGCAGTAACCAGATTTGGAAGTGGAGGGAGAGAGTTAAGTAGCTGTCTAAATTGGATTCTGAGAGGGATATGTGAGCGTTAGATTATAATCTGCAAGTAAGGGTGATGAAAGTGAGAGCACGGCAGTAGCCAGGATTGAAGGTCACTGGTAGGAAAGGGAGGCCAGCTGAGCTTTAACAAGGAAAGTAAAATGAACGTGATTAATATTATTTGTGCGTAGTACAGCACTTTTTCCTCCCTTGATCTCAAAGACTCATAGACGATGTGTTGAAACTGTGGGGTAGAACGAGAGCAAGCTGCCAGAAAGGAGCTGGAGGAAGCTGAAGCACAGCAACAAGCCCAGAGCAGCAGAACAGAGGGCAGGAGAGAGCGAAGGCTGGCAGATACCTGTGTAACATCACATTAGTGGGGTGCGGGAGGCAGAACTCAGTAAGAATCAGACGTGCAAGCTATGATTTATTTGAATTTTGACAAGGAAATATGCTCACACAAGGACTTTTCCAAGTGAGGATCCTTGAAGCAGCATTTTGTTCCAAAATAAGGTGGATCATTCTGCTGACAGAATTTCACATGCATTATCCTTAAAAGGAGGTAGAAGTAACGCATCTCCTGAGAATTTATAGTAACGTGTTCTGCTAAGCTGCTTTAGAATCATATTTTCTGGGCAATGTCAGTGATGAATTGTTTTGTTCTACTTTCTAGAAATTGTAGGAGATACATTTGTGTGTTATAATCTTTAAGAGAAAAGTCAATACGTGTTACTTATTTTTCTTGAGGAGATAAAAGTCTTTGATCTACAGTATTCCCAAACTTCAGAAATTTTCCAAAAACTTAATGATTGCATTTGTACTGTGCTATATCTTAGAAGACCAACAGCTTTTTGTGTCTGAATTAGCATTGAAGGACCTTAGAAGGTTGTCTCATTTATTATGGTTGTGTAGTCAGTACCTCTTGGTTTTTGGAATGTTTGAAGACTGTAAATAAAATTTGTGGTTTCCTTTTAGAGAATAATTAGTTTGTACCGTAAATAAATGCATAGGAAAATATTTATGCTTTAGCATGTGACTACCGCACAGATAAAAAGGGAATTGATACGGAGTCTGTTCCGAGAGAAGGGGAGGGAAATTGTTATTGTTTACCGTTGTGCTGACAAGTGCCTGAAAACGAATGAAATTATCCTCTTTGTTTTTCTTTTCAAGTGTACATCTCTCTGCTGTAAGCAATGCCAAGATACAGAAATAACAACCAAGAATGAAATATTCAGGTGAGTGTAATGCTCTTGATCTTTGGGAGGTTCTTGATCAGAATTGTTGACAGAGCAAACCAGATTAAGCTAGGGTATAGGTATTGCTCTTTCCACAGCTTTAATAAAATTTAAATACATATTTATAGGGAATTTTCTTTATAAAACAAGACTGGTTATTTCATCTTTTTTCATAAAAAGTTAGTAAATCCAAACATCACCCAAACCACATATATTGTAATAGAAGTGAGCGTGAAAGCCATGGTATGTCCCCGAGCGCAGCGTCTTGCCCCTGAAGAGTTGAGCACTCTGTGGTGAGTTTTCAAATGTAATTTCGTTATGTGTAAAATTTGGGATCTCATGAACTTCATTCAGAAGTAATAGTACAAAAAAATCATTCCCAGCAGTGCGTTCCATTCCCACTTTCTGTATGTCAACAAGTTTCAACAGCAGATTAATATGTACTGATTGGGTGGTACGAGTATGCCCCCAAGATGTTGTCCTATCAGGAAATTGTCTATTTCTGTCATTAAGCATTGTGATACCTCTTTTGGTATAAGATTATATGATTTAATCCTAAGAGCTGTTCTGGGCAGTGTGTTCCCGTTATATATTTGACCTATACAATGTCCTCCATGTTAAACAATGATAAGATGATTCATTTTCCAAATGATTGCTACTTCTGGCAGTCTTGTCACTTTTCATCTTGGATAACTAGCATCTGTCCATCGCCTACATCAGTGTGAAGGTTAAAGGATGCCTTGGTTTAGCAAAGCAAGACTCGCCACGGTTTTCCTTTATCAATGTGATAAGAAGCCGGTGTGGTCATTAAAACTTGTTTCTTAGCTTTTACTTAAATGGTGGATTCCAGAAACCACACTTCCTACTGTGTTAATATGGTGTATGTTAGCAAGTGAATGAAGAGAAATTGGTCTGATGAGTGCACATTTTTCTCATATTTAAAGTCAGATTTAAGAGTAGGAATATAGATTCTATTTGTTTTTAATCGGAAGTTGCTATTCAACTTGAATTTCTTCCTTGAACTCTGTCAGAACTGTTATTTGTCTATCTGTTGCAGTTTGTCCTTATGTGGACCCATGGCAGCATACGTCAATCCTCATGGGTACATCCACGAAACGCTTACCGTTTATAAAGCCTGCAACTTGAATCTCAGTGGACGACCATCGACAGAGCACAGCTGGTTTCCTGGGTAATACAGTTAAAAGAAATTTTATTGGTAGATGACAGAAATGTAGTTGTAATTGTGTTCCTGCAACTGCGGAGTAATAAATACGTACTTTTTGAAACATACGCAGTCATTTAGGTCATATGAAAAAATAGGAAAGAAAACGTAGACTTTTCCATAGCACAAAATAAAATGGAAAGTTGAAGTAAAACGTGCAGAATTTCTCTTAAATCTCTTAAATCTGTGGAAGTTTTAAGATTTTAAAAGACATTCTAGTATTTGAGAGCTACACAGAGGATGCTAATTTTGTGAGAGTTTTTTTCTGAATTGTTTTATATAAGCCACTATTATATCATAACTGTTTCCATGCAGCTTTCTTTGATCACAAAGTATGTAAAGTACAAACAGAAAACATAACACATAAATGCAGTTATTCTACTGAGAAAATTTTTTAGATCCATAAACTGAATATTTGTTATTTGTTTAAAATTACATAAAAATTAATATTGTATTTAGCTTAGTTATTTAATTACTTTTGATTTAAATAATCTTGCTATCTGACACAGTAGCAGAATTGTCAAGATATGAAAGTCTGCTTAATAGTGAAAGGTCTTGCATCAAAACGTCACCCATCCCTGGTTGCTTAAATTTAAGTTTTGACTAGATAAGCACACTTCAGGCACACTTTTAAAACTTTGCATTAATCTTCTATAAATAGCTGAAATGTCAAATTATATTTGAATTATAGTTTCACAAAAATATTCCTCACATATATTATCACAGAATCATTCTTCTGTGATGTCCTTTCTGTATCCTAATATCATAAATCATTCTTCTGTCAAAACTTTACTTGCCTACATCAGTCTCTTTGCTCTACGCTGGTCTCTTCGAAAACAGCCAGTTCTTTTTATCTGCTGATAAAATAGTGTGTGGCTACATGTATAATCATTCCAAGGTTCTTGACTATGCATTTACTCTTGCGTTCTCACAGTGTGCATGGGTTTTATCTATAGACTATCTCATAGTGTGTAGTAATGAGGTGAAGGTCAGCAGGATGCGTGGCGTATCTGTCATAAGAAATGCACGTTTAAAGACTCCCTGGAGAAAACTTGTGCCTTATAATATCTGGAGTTCATTTTTCTTGTCCTTAAATGTTTTCTCTGTCCTTTTCTTCTATGGGGGGCTTTTAAATATTGATGTTCTGCTTTTTAAAGCTAGTAAAGAAAAGCTCCATTGCTCTGGAAAGTGAGATTCCCTCTTAATCTACCAGCAGTCCAAAAATCACTTTTATTTCCGTTAAATAACTTTGATTAAATTTACTCTCTACGACCCATTTTCTGACCGTCCTTTATGGCCCACACCATCTTACCACACTGTTGAAATGCTGTGCTAGTAAAATGCTTTAGCTACTTTACGTTCTCTACCTGAAGGCTGAATTTTTTGTAGATCTGCTGAGTTTGTAGATGGGAGCTGGACACCTCATTGTTTGAAAATCCATCCTGAGGCTGGTATTTTTTTCTTACCGGATAAGTGAGCTGCGTTCTAGTATTTACAAAATGTCTTTTCCGTATATGATAGCATCAACACCTTTTGTTTTGTTTTTGGTAGGTATGCATGGACTATAGCCCAGTGCAGAATCTGTGGGAACCATATGGGCTGGAAGTTCACCGCTACCAAAAAGGATATGTCACCTCAGAAATTCTGGGGGTTGACGCGGTCTGCTCTCCTGCCCAGGATTCCCGAAACAGAGGACGAATCAGGCCACGATAGATCACCGTTGCTCTGCTTGTAATCTCGTAACCTGCTTTGGAAACGAACAGGCAGTAGTCTGTCTCTTAAGCCAATCTGCTCAGTTCTGCTTCTGATGCTTACTTAAAAAACCAAGAACCACACCCGCACAAAGCAAGCAGGCATCGCTACATTTGGGTTTGGTGTGCATACACATTACTCTTGTTTCAGACACGCTGAGAATTGCAGGTTGAATCTTTAGAAGGACAGCCGGGGAGAGAAGGTAGCAGGAGACACCAGGGGATCGATCTGGTTCATCCGGACAGACTTGACTCTGAACCTTCTACTTCCGTGTATAATTTCAGAAGATGTTTATCATTATTGACCTACAGTGAAAGAAGGGTGGGGGGAAACTAAAATTACAATTAAACAAGGTATGATTTATGCAATTTCTGTATGATGGTAGACACCAATTATTCACTGGAATATTTTCCCACAATACACTTAAAGTATTTTTGCTGAGCATCCCTGTTTCTGACTATGTGTAATACTCCCAATTTTGTGCTCATGCTGTTTCTCAAACATTCGCTGAATGACCATCAAAGAAAGTAAAAGGCCTGAATCTCTGTTCTGGCCGGTGTCGTGTTAGTAACGTCATCCTGGTCGCAGCGCTGTAGCGAGCAGAAGCAAGAGCGTCCCGCTACCTGCAGCCAGAACAATTACGTTACAAAATTCCCTTTGAAAGGAATCCTAGATAAAGCGTTCGATCCTTATAAGTTATTTGATATATTTAGCCTGTTTGCCTTTAGATGTCTTTTAACATTTAAATTATTTATCCTAAATGCCCAGGTTGATCCCAGCGCATAAAACACATTGTCATTTCCCGTTAATGTGTTTACATTCGCTTTTCAAATGGTTTCTCTGAAGCTTCCTTTACCTGTGTACATGCCCGAGGTGCTGTCAAGTGCTCTCTAAAATACCGAACTCTGGAGACTGCTATGCGCGTTTGGACAAGGTGGAGGCGACCTGTCCTTCCTTTTCTTTTCTTTTGCCCTTTCGTATCGTAAGGTGAAATTTGACATTGTTACCACCCTCACCTGACAAAGGGCAAAAGTTTCTAAATCAGAAACAAAAGGCAGTGGTTGTGTTTCCTGAGGCGCTGTCTGTGCTACAGAAATCGGTGCCAAAACGGGGCAGCTTTTGCTGCTGATTTTTCTTTTTCCCTTCCTTCCCTCTCCTCAGAACGCACTTCGGTAGAAACGTTGTTTATGACACAAAAATCCTGAAGACGCGCACCGCTGCTTGCTCCATCCCATCCCCACCCATGCACCAAAGGGGTGTAGCACGGACAGATTACTTCAGTGGAAGGCTGAAGTCAAGCATCTCCTTTAAAGACAAGTAGCTGATTGAAACGGTGATGCGGTGTCTGTTATATTGCAGCTGAAAAAAATGCAGGTGTGGAAAGATGCTAGATGCTGAAAGGCTGTTAGGACACTTTATTACACTAGGTATGTAGAAACTAATGACTGTGCAACTCAGGTCTAGTTCTTTGAAGCCTTCTACCTCTGTGCTTCGGGGATAGCGTTCGTCCCCTCCGTAGACGTCTCTCGGACGGTATTTAGTTTTGTGTGCAGCACGCTGACTTGCCAGTGAACCGAGAAGAGCAGTCGTCCTTTCAGTGCAGGTCTGAGCAAGCGGAGGGCGAATGATGGCTCGTGCTCTTAAATAAAGCGTTCTGGTTTTTTGCTTACGTTTCTCTAATAAGCTTTCAGAAGACTAGAATGAGAAGCACCGGTGTGAAAGAGTGAGAGACTGCGAAACCTCTGTACCTACGTAACCACTGGAATCATACTCGGACGTCCCCCTCACTCCTTGTGCACGCACACACGCGTGCGGTTTAGTTGTAGGCTTGGTTTGTTCTTTTTCCCCAACAGATGCCGAGTGTCTGGTGTTCCCACTGCCGTCAACAGGGCTTTTAGGCACTTGGGAGTTTAAAGATAGTTCGGAGAACCTGCCGTGTCCATTCGTCTGAAGCGTTCACTGAGGGCCTGGTGAGCGACTTGAGCGTTTTCTCGGCTATCGCTGAACCTCGTAAGGTGTTTCGGTTTTTGGCCAAGTCTTTCCGATTGCTTCAGTTAACAATGACATTATGTTGACAATATTTGAACACAAAATAGGCATATTTTTGGTATTGTGTATATATAGTCAAATGTAAACTAATATAATCAAGTGAGATAAGTCAGAAGTAAATTTAGGACTAACTAAATTTTGTTGTTGACGATGCTTTTCCATCTGCCCAATCCTCTGTGTAGTGTTTACCGTTACAAAGCTCATGACACTTTCTAAGCGGAAAACAAGCGTGATTCGAGTTCCTGCAAAGGGCAGGGATCCTGCTGCGGCACAGCGGGCCGTTGGAGCGCTCCCAAGACGTAGAGCTGTGCGCGCCTCTGTACGTCGGTCGGGATTTTCTATGCTTTCTCCTCTTTTTTGAGGAGAAAACTACTAGAATGTTGGGATTGAGGGGAAAAAAAAGTTGCTGACAGATACGGGCCTCATATGCTTCTGGGAGCTAAGTACAAAGGGAAACAGCAAATCTTACGAAAGTAACTCTATTTGCTACCTTGTGGCTGGCCTGTAGCTTCAGGCAGACCTGCTGTGGCGGCTGCCCGGAGGAGAGTTTTTCCTCTTCTCCCGCGCCGTCACCTCTGTCCTTGCGGTGAGACGCGGGAGTTACGGGGACGCAGGGCAGGCGTCCCGGTTCACGGCTCGCCGGAGGAGGAGGAGGAGGAGGGAGGGAGCGACGCGGGGGGCCGGCAGGGCGACCGCCCCGTGGCGCAGCAGGTCCCGGGCGCTGCGCCCGCCTTGCAAGCCGACGGTGCGGGAGCACCCGCCGTCTCCGCCTGTGAAACTGTTGAGTTTCCACACGCTTCAGTTTCGGTGCATAGGTAGATTCCCAGTAGGGCACTTCTGCACCCGTTTCTGTTCTAACCCACTTGGAAATATTATACCTTTTTTTTTTTTTTTTAA